AAATTATCATTAATAATTAAGCGTAATGAATCAATATCGTAATTTTCGCAATCATATATCTCACAGAAATAACATGGGCTAGATGCTCACTTTATCTCGTCGCTCGCTAAAACATTAAAATTGTTTTTTATTTTGCCATGATCGGTCAGTCACGCTGACTTACCACACTTCTGATTCAAAAACAGAAATTATTCAAAACTATTTGGATTTCAGTCGGTATTTCGGGAAAACTTAGTGGTATCCTGCCACAAAAAATTCAAGCCGAATAGTCAGCGTGTATAGACTACTCGAGCAAAAATTGCTAATAAGGATTTTCGTCACAGGAATATCTGAATTTGATAAATAAAATGAATTTGATGATAAATATAACACGTAGTGTTATATCAAAAGTTTTCCAGAAGAGTCTACAATTTGCGTTTCTTCATTCACCCATGTTCGATCTTTCCTTTATTGGAAAGATCTATTTATTTCCTTTCCTCCATTCATCCATATTCGATTCACTCTTTATAGCATTAATTGGAGAGCAGTCAGTGCCCTCAATAGTGCACGGTCATGCCGATGTGACAATAGTTGTCCTTCGTTAAACTTTCGTTTGCTCGAATTGCCTCGCAAACGACAGGATTGTAAGGAACCGCAGCTGCTGCTGTCACTGAGGTAAGATCGATGGATGAATGGCTGGGAAAAGATCTCGGCTGGCCTTGCCGTAAGGCTGAACTAAAGACCTGCAATTTGCAGTGATCTGCCTTGTGATGCTGGCTGATCATTTATACCGTAAATTGCCGAGCTGCATCTTTGAAATTTGCCTCATACTGTTGAACTGATGAACGATTAATGCCTTTGAAGTACCTACTTGCTACAACAGGTTATAATTGCTTTAGAACTACTATTGCTGTAGAACTACTATTGCTTTAGAACTACTATTGCTGTAGAACTACTATTGCTTTAGAACTACTATTGCTGTAGAACTACTATTGCTTTAGAAGTACCTGCTTGCTACAACAGGCCGAGATGTGAGAACTTCTAAGACTCATTAAAGGTAATTTTTTTCTGCAAATGATTCTTCATCGGTAATTTCTGGATTTTCATTTGTTGATATAGAACTTTCGTATTTTCCTCCGGTCTGTAGACAACCGTGCAATCTCAAACATTGCCGTAATGGAATTGTCTTTAATTAATATATTCATTTTTGTTTGCAAATGCAAACAAACCCTAATTACTTAATTGTGACGACTCACTTGATTCGTTTTATCTCATGTGCAAACTTGAGGTCAATATGATTGTTTTCTTGACGCATGCGCACTCCAGGTTTGCACTTCACTTTTTTATTCCTCCGCCACACTCAAGTTTTACCAGCAAACGATAGCAATAACACGAGATTCATGCTAGTCATGCTGTGAACCTATACCCGTTTCCTGCATAATACATAGTATATACGTATACAGCATCCGGTGTCTGTTTTCCCGGCATAATATTTCTATACTTATAATTCGGGAAGGTAAAAGCGTCAGTTGTTGTTACCTCTTTGACAATCATGCTTCTTAACACCTATATAATTGCTATCGGCCTTCATTATTGTAATTTCTCCATTATTGACAAATTAGCATAGCCGCAGACGGTTTAAATATTTCTGTGACTTATTTGCAAAATATCGTCTTTTTACCGAATTCTTTTGCTGAAATTATTTATCTATATTTGTTCATAAGCATGGGAAAATTTTAGTCTCAACCCTGTTAAGTATATAAAAATTGTTCATAGGCGGTAAAGACGCACAAAATTAAGACTCAAAAAGGAGCGGCGCAGAAACAACGAACTGCACGTTCGTTGTTTCTGCGCCGAACAAAGCTCGAGCACCGTAAATATTTAACGAACAACTTTCGTAGGGCACGAACAACATTCATAGGGCACGAACAACGTTCATAGGGTACGAACAATATCTACAGGGCGCTCGAACAACACTCGGATGGGCAAGAAAAACATTCATTGGGCATGCACAGCATTCGTAAAGCACGAACAACAAAACTGTTGCATAACTACTATTAAACAGCAAAACATTAACGTATTAGGAGCTCTGAAGTTCTTACAAGACGCGATCGCTGGATCAACCAGCGGCTGCGTCTCAAGATCACTTTCACTCGCTGGCCCACGGCTGTGCTCCGTGCGAGGTTCCCCAGCTATTCAGCTCAATATCTTGAGACTCGGAGTCTTCTTACAGCAGAATGTGTTTAGCCTTAAAAGGCTGCATGTGCTCTACAACTGCTATATGATCAACCTGAGAGCAGCATAACTTTGGCTACGGCTTGGGTTCGTCCTTTATTAGAAGGGGTACGATTTCAACGAGTATTATTTAGAAATATTATTTCACTTCAATGGCGAAAACCACATTTTTTACTTGGGTTGTTTTTTATATCGTATTTTATTCCTCACTTCATGAAAACTCTAGAGACTCGTGCAGATCTCACTGCTGGTCGTGTTTTCAATCCTAAAAATAATAACAATTTTAAATTTTTTATGCCTATTATAACCAGCACTTTTCTACCAAATAACCACTAACTGATAGTAAATCAATTTATTTTTTGAGAAAATAACCACAAATTTAAATATGATCCGCACTCATGCATTGTAAAAAGTATTTTTTTTTCAAATTGAATACATTTAACCTCTTAAATTATATACAATACTTTGTTCATTTGTGAGGAAATGCTTTCATTAAGAACTAAGACGTCATAAGACTGGATATCAATTGTTCTTATAATGAATTTCCACTCTCCGGAATAATTGTCGTGTTTCGACGATAACAAGATTTGAAATGAAGAACTATGTGTATAACTAATTATGTGTATTCATTAACAGAGCCTGATTATTGATAATTGTATGGCTAACATTGTTTTTTTTCTCATTTCCAAGCGAGCTATAACATCGACGAGAATCTTGATATCAGGATGGCGGTTGAGAAACATGTACGATTTCATGTATTTAACTGAAATATTAGGGTTTATTCAGATGAAAGTTAGGCAAATTCATTCATTCAATTTAATAATATCAACGAAGCACAATTTCCAGTGATATTTTCATTAATTTAATCTGTAGTGGAATTTTACCCTGAGAAAACTGATCAGGATATCAAGTTATTCATCAGCTCAACTGCCCAAATCTACAGTATTGTATTAAAGAACTACATATAACCCGGGATATATGTGTCAAATTATTAAACTTATATCTACATATAACCCGGAACAATTGAGTCAAATTAATATGCTTACATCTATATTATTTCGTTCATTGGAGTTAATATTCGATTGTATTCATCCCTCACGTGGGCTCCCTGCAGCCCAAGAAAAGAAAGGCATATCGTCGACGTGTCGAGTGAAAGTCGCCACCGACGCAACTTTTCCTATCGCAGTGCCCAGGCCGGCGCTCTCGTTTTCAGTTACATTGGGGAATTTCAGTTGATATGAAGGGTGAGTTTCTGGAGAGTGGGTTGCAGGAGAGTGGGTTGTAAGAGAGTGGGTTGTAGGATAGAGGGTTGTAGGCGAGTGGGTTGTAGGAGAGTGGGTTGTAAGAGAGTGGGTTGTAAGAGAGTGGGGTGTAGGAGAGTGGGTTGTTGGAGAGTGGGTTGTAGGAGAGTGGGTTGTAGGAGAGTGGGTTGTAGGAGAGTGGGGTGTAGGAGAGTGGGTTGTAGGAGAGTGGGTTGTAGGAGAGTGGGTTGTAGGAGAGTGGGTTGTAGAAGAGTGGGTTGTAGGAGAGTGGGTGGCTGCCACTACCCTCAGCACCAATGGCTGCCACTACCCTCAGCACCAATGACTGCCACTACCCTCAGCAGCAATGGCTGCCACTACCCTCAGCAACAATGGGATAAATGATACATTGACGGCCGCAATGGCAGCCACTACCCTCAGCACCAATGGCTGCCACTATATTGACGACCGCAATGGCTGCCACTACCCTCAGCAACAATGGTTGCCACTACCCTCAGTATCAATGGCTGCCACTACCCTCATCAGGTCGTCTCAGTGCCCCGGATGCAACACTTACACCGCGCGGCCGCTAACATTGCGCGCAGCACTGCGTGTCAGTCAACCTTTTTTCATCTACTATGATAATTTTTAACGCTGAAACACATGCATTCGCGCATATTTTGAGTACTATACTATTTGAGATTGTATTGGAATAATTGAAAAGGAACTGAAAAAGAGGGAAAATGTGTAATTTATTTGTATTTAATACTTAATATAACAAATGAGTGATGATTCTGCTTGTTTGACTGTAACTCATTTCTTCTTTTATTAATGTTTTTTCTACCAAATACATTTCCGCAATGGAAAAGACGGCCTGGTGGATTTATGTTGTGTGAATATTTCTGCACGGCACGTAAATTCATAGCACTGAACCACGAAAGAATGCTACTATGGTCTCACGTTCTTTTTATGATATTTTTGCCGAAATGTTTACGATCACATTAATATTTGTTATGATTAAAGCTTCGTATTCGAATTATATCATAAGTTATCATTAAATTTACTATCATCTAGTGCATTGTATCGTTCGTCAGATTCTTTACATTAATCACGTAGTATAAGTGTCGGATAATTTTGCACGTATTACGCACTAATTCGTGGACCGCCGCCGTGCAGGAGGCGGCCAGTCGTCGGGCGCGCGTGTGGCGCGGCCTCCTCGACGTCTCAGTCGTCGTCATGATGCTCTGCGCCGTCACCATCGCCGTCATGGTCCTGACCAAGAGGTGAGTGACGTGCGGGGTGAGTGACGTGGGGGGTGAGTGACGTGTGGGGTGAGTGACGCGTGGGTTGAGTGACGTGTGGGGTGAGTGACGTGGGGGGTGAGTGACGTGTGGGGTGAGTGACGTGTGGGGTGAGTGACGTGTGGGGTGAGTGACGTATGGGGTGAGTGACGCGTGGGTTGAGTGACGTGTGGGGTGAGTGACGTGTGGAGCTGTCTCTTATACACATCTAGATGTGTATAAGAGACAGGTCTAGGACTGGAACGTGGATATCGGGTGAGTCTAGGAGCATGGATATCGGGTGAGTCTAGGAGCATGGATATCGGGTGAGTCTAGGAGCATGGATATCGGGTGAGTCTAGAAACATGGATATCGGGTGAGTCTAGGAACATGGATATCGGGTGAGTCTAGGAACATGGATATCGGGTGAGTCTAGGAACATGGATATCGGGTGAGCCTAGGAACGGAACATGGATATCGGGTGAGTCTATGAACGGAACATGGATATCGGGTGAGTCTAGGAACATGGATATCAGGTGAGTCTATGAATGGAACATGGATATCGGGTGAGTCTATGAACAGAACATGGATATCGGGTGAGTCTAGGAACGGAACATGGATATCGGGTGAGTCTAGGAACGGAACATGGATATCGGGTGAGTCTAGGAACGGAACATGGATATCGGGTGAGTCTATGAACGGAACATGGATATCGGGTGAGTCTAGGAACGGAACATGGATATCGGGTGAGTCTAGGAACGGAACATGGATATCGGGTGAGTCTAGGAACGGAGCACGGATATCGGGTGAATCTATGAACGGAGCATGGATATCGGGTGAATCTAGGAACGGAGCATGGATATCGGGTGAATCTAGGAACGGAGCATGGATATCGGGTGAGTCTAGGAACGGAACTTGGATATCGTGTAAGTCTAGGAACGGAACATGGATATCGGGTAAGTCTAGGAACGGAACATGGACATCGGGTGAGTCTAGGAACATGGATATCGGGTGAGTCTAGGAACGGAACATGAAAATCGAGTGAAAATATCAACGTAGCATAGTTATTAGGTGGGTCTGTGAACGGGAACGTAGTCATCGGATGAGTCAATGAACGGAACATAATATCACAATGAACGGAACATAACACAATGAACGGATGCGTTCCTTAAGAGAAATCCTTTAAAATCAAAATGATCGTTTAACTCAATACTCTTTCAAATCAGATGGATCCTATAACTTATAACTTGACACTTTTTGCTAAAGGCTTCGAACTACTAGCGAATTTTGAATGCGTTCTTAATTTCAAATTGAACGTCGCGTCTTTGGAAATTAATCGCGTTTTTCGGGAAAGTAATCAAAGTAATCAATCATGAAAATTCTTTATTCCTTCGCAGGCTTGGAAGTTTGAAGATTTCTTTGATTACAGACAAAATGTCAAAATATTAATATTTGCTATATACATATTTATAGCTCGCTTATGAGTGAGCGAATCTCAGGCGACCGTTCGTTTTACAGGTCATACTTAATCACCATGCAGACGTATATATTTCATGTATTCACAAAGAGTTATCTTTTTTCTGCATTTGCATGCAGTGATGCTCTCACTCTCTTGTAACTCTCTCTTCCCTGAAATTACCTTACTGAAATGAAGAAATGTCTTTGTTCGTTTTTTGAAGGCTGAATAATCGTTTTGCGCGAATCGTTTTACACTTGAAGAATCATTTTACGCGAGTCTTTTACGCTGTTTCCTAATTGTTTTCCGATGGCTGTGTGCCGGTTCTTTTTCCCGCTTTCGTGAGAGCCTCTACAAAAAAAGGGAGTGCGTTTTGCATTGAGGTAAAATTGCCTTCAATGTTTCCTGTATTTCACCCTGAACTTCCAAGTTACTTCACCTCAAACTGGCATTCTACGCCAAGTCGAACGCATTGTTCAGGTCCTACAAAGGAGGCAGCGTCCTTCACGAATGTTTTCCTGCCGCTCGCACGATGCTGTGCCATGAAAAAGATTTTTGCCTCCTATTTTTTCGAATTTTTTACAGGCTCATGAAATAATATGTTCACAAACTATTAGTTTTGATAATAAAACAGGCTTGATTATAAAAAGTTAATTTACCTTTAATACAGATTAATGAATTAAATTTAAAGTTCATACGAAAGAAGAAGCATCGAATTTCGGCCGCAAATGATCAAAGCGAAGGCCTATTTTTCTACAGGTGAATTTTTAACCGCTCATAGTATTTGGTCTAAGAATTTCGATTAGTACCTACCTCTTTCGCAATGGGTTTATCACAAAAAAATTACGCTTGAAGCGAACCAGGTTAGTTACTTCTTGCACTGAACACTAGAACACTAGTGATAGCGAAGCCCCATACACCACGCTGAGGCTCCTCCGGAGTTCTGGAAAATAAAACTAAAATGCCAACTAATTTAAATACTAATTATTCGAATATTGTATATATATTGTCATTAATACTAAATTTTTGTTCTAATTATTTTGAATTGTTCAATTAATATAGTTTATTGAGCGCGAAGACCATGAAAAGTTGAATTTTACTGCAAACAATTTTTATCAGCTGGTATAAGATATTAATAAGTTGATTTAAAATTGATCATCATTAGACATTGAATTAAGGTGAAAATTACTCATCAAATTGAATCGAAATTGAATGATCTTGATTAGGAATGAACTGAAAAGTGCAGACTCATTGGAAAAAACGTTTCCAAAGGTTTCCCTCTGCAGGCAATCTTCGTACAACTGCGAAATTATTATTTCTTCAGTTCAAATTAAATGCGTTCAAAATACTAAAATAAATGTTGCTTTGTCTGGATGTGATGACAGACGAAAACCTCCATGAATAGACAACAATAAAGCTACACTCGAATGACCAGACATGAACAGGCTTATGTGACTTCAGCCGAAAGTGCCGATTTTTAAATTTGTTCCCTGCTGTTGAGATGGTTTCAATTCACCAAGGGTCATCAAGAGGAGTGGTTCTAAACCTAGAAACCACCATTCCTAGTAGGTAGTTTTTTAATTACGCCTGTATGTTTTTCATGTCTTTTCATTAGTTTCAATGTATAACTTAGTGAGATCGTAAGCTTGACTATATATAGATTCACACAGCTCCGACTATTCGTTTTTTTTTGTAATTCAATTATTTAATGTTGTGTTTCACCACTTATATTATGCTGCATAATTTTACTTTGAATATTATGCTGCCCAATTTTTTTAATATTATGCAGTATAATTTTACAACGCTATAATCCTTCTGACGGTAGGTACAGTCTGACAAGGTAAAACTACCTCAATCATTGCTAACGTTCAACTCTGCGACGCTTCCTTTGAATCTCACAAAATCTACGAACAAAAAATATAACAAAAATATCACAAAAATATCACAAAAATGTCGCAAAAATCTCAGAAATATAAGAAATTTGCTGACAAAACCTTAACCCGCGCAGACCACGAGATGACGTACCGAGACCTGGACGGAGCCCTCGTCTTGTTCGACGTGCGAACCCTCACGGCCGCCGTCATGGTAACGGCTGAGACCATGGTCAGTAATGAGTGTTTAATTAAAATTATTACGAACTAAAATTATATATTATATTATATTAAATTATATTATATTAGAGACCATGGTGAGTAATGAGTGTATTGTTATGATTATTACTCACTAAAATTATATTATATTATATTATATTATATTATATTATATTATATTATATTATATTATATTATATTATATTTCTTTGCAAATATAATGCTGCCTTATATTCCAAAACAATGATTCATATATTTTTGATATAAGTGAGAGATCGTTTTTGTTGCTAATGTTATTTGCTTGACTCCAAGTTTATTTCCAAGTATAGGTTCCATCCGCTTATGTCTGTTAATAATTTAATATTTTATCTTGCAACAGTCAGAATGGAGGCCTTTCTCTTACTCGCTGTCACCGAGCAGGAAGTATTTACTACTCGTACACGATGTCCAGAAGGTGGGTCAGAAGAACAGGAATTACTTACAGAAAATTCCTTGAGAAATTCTTGCTGCATTTATTCTGACTCGATAAACCCTTAAGAATAAATTGACATCATGATTTGTATGACTATTTAAAGATCAATTTCTGGACGATTTTGTTGATCGGTAAAATAAAACAAGATTGTAATGCTAAATTCAATCTTTCAGATAATTTTTTTTTGATTACTTAGCGTCTATGAAACAGATATTAGTGAGGAAACTCTTATTTTTAAATCTAAGTGATTTATGGGTGACCAACAATACTCGTAATCAAATCTCTTACAGATTTTCCGTGGAATAACTTGCAGCTATTTCCATGTTACGCCAATTTTTATATTAATAATATTGTTACAGCTGTTCCGGTACTCTTATCTGGCTCGGCATACCATCCTCAATGTCAAAACTGGGTACGTGAATGTCATTTTCCGGTATGATAAGCGTTTTAAATCAGGAAATACATCATCTTACATAAAGTAGAACATGAAAAAAATTTTGTAATATAGGTGGTTACGGAAATCCAACTCCATTTCTTTTCGCTTGTAGTATGCAAGTTTAAATAGAGGATTCATGTATTTCTTAAACCCCTTCGAACTTACTCAGTCAGAAACTAGTTAATTTTAAATAAAATTCCACTCTTTATTCCATTGCAACAGTCACTGCACTCATTCCATTTAATAATTGACACCACAAAACCTTACCGTTCACGCAGGGAAGTGACGCCCCTGGCCCCCCAAAGGGTCCGAGGTCGGGCCGATCAGCCCCCGTTACTCGTAGCGACTTGGGCGCCGACAACGGACGCTATAGCCTTTGTCTTCCACAACGACCTGTACTACACCACGTCACCGTCCCTCTCTACCATGTACCGCATCTCAAGTACTGGTCAGATCGGCACTATCTTCAATGGAGTCCCGGACTGGGTGTACGAAGGTGAATTACCTGCAATTTCTTCTTGCAACTGTACTTGCAATTTCTTTTTGCAACTGTAATTGCTATTTCTTCTTTCTCCTGCAATTGTACTTGCAATTTCTCGGTGTCACGCGCAAACCTCTACCCATTGGTGGTTGGTAGGTTCCCAGTCCAAAAATCAGATGAAAGTTTTGAAATTCAATTTTTAACCCGTGTGATAACGATGCATCTGACATGACTGAGTTTATGAAGAACGAAAATCGCCGAAAAATCTTCAAATATTCCTAGATTTCTGAAAATTTTTAGCCATAAACTTCTGCAGAAAAATCTTACAGTTGTTATGCTACAGAAACTTTTAATTGTTTTCTTTGATCTACGACTANAACTTCTGCAGAAAAATCTTTCAGTTGTTATGCTACAGAAACTTTTAATTGTTTTCTTTGATCTACGACTATAATCACTATATGTGCTTATTATTCAATAGCGTGGTGATAATGTAAAGTAATTTGGAGGAATTTGTATTCTAAATATGAATCTAAACTATTTATAATTCGACAATCCAAAAATTTTTGCTGATTAAATTTGAATCACTACAGTAATTTATTTGCTAATTACATTTTCACTCTCTATCCTAATCCAGCAAAAGATACAATTTACTCGCGAGCTTGATGTCACTGTTCGAGGAGTGCATGCCTCTGTTTCACTCTATAAACTCTGCCATTAGACCCCTATAAGTTTCCGTATCACTGATACAAGTACAATATGTTTGTTTGCACAGAGGAGATTCTGAGCTCGAACTCAGCAATGTGGTTCAGTCCTGAAGGAACTCGTTTGGCCTTCGCAACCTTCAACGACTCCCTCGTGGACACCATGAACTTCCCTCTCTACGGCCAGCCTGGCGAGCTCGTATTCCAGTATCCATTCCAGCAATCCATCAAGTATCCTAAGGTAAAAATTTTAATAACTCTCCACTGTTAAATAAAAAAATTAATGTTTTAAATGAAAAATTTCCACTAAAATATTTTTTTAGTCCCCGCAGTTTTTCCGCTATGTTTATGATTTTCCATCAGGTATCGAACCTTAGGGTCACATTGATGCATTTTTTCTCTTTCAGTAGTGAATTGAATTTCCACAGGAGTGAACGAAATATTTTTTTGCGGGGATCTTGTATTCTGCAATCGAGTGTAACAAGCTTTTCAGTAAATAGTTCCAGAATTGATTACAATGACTATAATTTTGCAAGCTTTACTTCGAGACATTTTACGTTGATTTCTTCGTCGATCTTAATTGACTAGGCAATTTAATTGTAACATTTTGTCACAGTCAGGCTGCAGTAATTATTAGACCTTCTGATGCTGAATGTTGATTTATTTGTGTCTGGTTCTTGCAACAGTAAAATTTATTAAATTATCGTTAAATTTTGCAACGAATCCCTGCAGTCGAGCCACCCGGTGGTGGATCTTTGAATGGTGGACATCTGTTCGCTGGTGTCCGGGTTTGCAACAGCAATAACATTAATTGAATCGTCGTTTACAAATAGAAAATTTCTCTGAAAATTTATAAAATGTTCCTCTAATTTTACTGCTTATATCTACAGCCTGGTCGCAGTAACCCGGTAGTGGACCTGTGGATGGTGGACATCGGTGCGCTGGTCTCCGGTTCTCGGGACACCGTCACACGATTGCCTCCGCCTTCTCAAGTTGCGTCCTCGGACCACTACTTCTCTGCTGTGGGCTGGGGCAACGAAAACTCCGTCGCTATAATCTGGATGAACAGGCACCAGGTGAGTTAAATGCCAATGAATTATTGGAAATAAAGTCGTGAAGAAGATGTAATTACCTCTAGCTAGGTGCTTAATGTCGCAGTTTGTGATAAGAATTTACAAATTTGGCCTTAATTGCGAAAAATCGCTGGTAGAAAATGCATCATTTTTTCTACGTTTACAAATAATCAATTAGTATCATGTAAGGAATACTTTGAGTCGTTCTGGTTATGGGTCACTGGTCCAAATGGTAATAGGGACGTTAATTAAGAAGATTGAAAATTGAAAAATGGAAATTCGGGAAGCGATTCAGAAGAGGTAGTACCAGGTAAGGAAATGCGGTTGACGTTCAGTAACAGAGAATTTTGAATCAGTTCATTACCTAAATGATGCTAACTACTAACTAGCTTGGATTCCACATGAGCCCATACAAATATTTAAAAACAGGTTAAAATTTCATGCAGGTCACAGTTTTTTTTATACCTGCCAATTTTTAATATATCAGTTATGACAAACGTGCCTCTGGCATTGATTAATTTCATTAGTAGTAAATAATCTTTATTTCCCATTTGCATCAGTAACTTGGAAAGCATCAAGGGACCTCATGAATTTCATTGCAGAACCTGAGCATCATCAGCAAGTGCAACTCTAAGGGCGTCTGCCGGGACGATCTTGTGCACGTATCGCCAGACGGCGCCTGGAACGACCTCTACACAGCGCCCATGTTCGACGACACCGGCGACTCTTATCTTATCATCCTACCCGGCAAGCAGGGCGACCATGGATACTACAAGGTCATTAATTACGTTCCCTAATGTTTAATCAGTAATATTAATATATATTTTATCATCCTACCCGGAAAGCAGGGCGACCACGGCTACTACAAGGTCATTAATTACGTTCCCTAAAGTTTAATCAGTAATATTAATATATATCTTATCATCCTACCCGGCAAGCAGGGCGACCACGGCTACTACAAGGTCATTAATTACGTTCCCTAAAGCGTCGTCTTCAAAGTTCTTAAATTAGAAGTAATGTTGCTTATTTCTTGCGTTTTTCACATTACACCGAATGGATTACATAGATTAAACGATTGTCGGGCATTCGGGTTCGTCAATTTCCATTGGCCAAAATATTTGCAAATCCAAATTATGATAGATTTACGTTATCATGCTGATATTTCTCTCGTATCTGGCATTAAAGTATGCAAGCAGGTCCATTAGTGAATGCCATTCTTCTCTTGCTGCTTTAGGGACAATTTTAAAAAATTTGTATTATTTATTTGTTAAGAAAAGCGATGAAGCGATTAATAATTTGGTGTTATTTATTTGTTAAGAAAAGGCGATGAAGAAGTCCAAAGTTTCTATTAATTAATTTGATAATAATTTATCGTTTTCGTTAACATTTAAATCGAGTACACATCAGTAATTACGCTGTACAGTGTACACTGATTGTAAAACTTCTCGAAATTAATTTTTGCAAATGTCCGTGCAGCATATATATGTGAGGCGGACTTCGGACCAAACTCTCGAGCCTCTCACATCAGGAACCTACGAAGTCGAAAGTATTTTATCCTGGGACAAAGCCAACCATATTGTGTGAGTAATAATTTTTTCAAATTAATCATTTAAACTTTAGCAATCAGACGGTTCAGTACACAATGCAGAAGAAATTTTTACGCTCATTAATCCATGTTTAATAGTTCAGAAAATATCCCTGTTAGTAACTTAGTAAGTAGGTATACTGTACTTGTAAAATTTCCTCACTCGTACTTCGATAAAATCTACACAATAAATACTCAAATTCACTTGAAAATGTGCTTTAGTAATGAACACTTTTTGATAGGACAAGGGCATGGTTTATCATGGAGTATTCCTTACATTACGAGATTTTATTGTACGTCCACTTGATTTTAATTATAATGTGTGATTAACTTCACAGTCATCTTTATTCTTTGTGCATCGGTGCTTATTAAATGAAATATTTAGTTTTATTGTGCAAAGAGAAGCATAACGATGACTGCCTCCGAGCTCTATGAACCAATAAAAACAATGCGCTAGGTGGCTTATGAAGTAGGTATATAAAATTATTTTTAAAAAATCTATAATAAAAATTTTTATAAATAAAAAGCCTTATAGCCCTCAAAAATTTGATGGCTATACGGCTAATCTTAAACTGGTTTGTAATCGAGTTAAAGAATAAAGGGTCTTAAAGCAAGATAGCAAGATATGAATAAATAAATCTATGCACCTCCTCGCTGTTAACAGGTATTTCTCAGGCGCACCGGAAGGAAAGCCAGGGCAGAGACATCTTTATTACGTCGGCGACCTTCAATCCGCGCAGCCTAAGCAAGCTTATTGCATCACATGCGACTTCAAAAACGACTACAGCGTAAGAATAATCTTGATATCAGAACTATTCTTGTAAAGATTTAAATTATAATGACTTTTTAAATAATTACTGAGAGCAATAAATAGGGCACACAATTTCTATCGGTTCAAAGTCCTCTAAAAATTAGAGACGAAATAACAAACCCATTTGCAGTAACCCTGCCACAAAGGGCACGGTGGCCCAGTGGTTACAGTTCAGAGTACCAAGATTGGAGCAGAGAGGCGCGGGTTCGATCCTAGCTCTGTGCGTCAGTTTCTGGTCAGAATCGGCGAGGCGGCCGGGCGGTTAAGCACAGCAGAATTGTAGTAGTGAGTTGCGAGTTCGAGACCACAACAAGCTGTGTGTTCTGTGATGTTATGAATCAGCGACAGGCCAAATGGCCTAATAAGCGCTGAAAACGTTTTCATTATTATTATTTTCAATATTATTATATAAATTAGAGCATTTATTCCTGCTACAGGAGGATTGCAACTACAACAGCGGTGAGCCGAGCAAGGCGAGCTCGTACTACGTGTTGACATGCAATGGTCCCGGCATACCGCAAGTGACGCTACACCGCTCAGCTGACCACACGCGCCTCATGCTGCTCGAGGACAACCAATTCGTGAGAGACAGAAATTAATTACTTCATTAAGTATAAAATATTGGTTCATTGAAATGAGTAGTAGAATTATGAATGTACATTTTTGTATGTTTAGCATTTTGAATATGAATGCTGACATAGTTTATATATTTGTTAAATTTGGCATACCTGCGAGATACTGTATTTTAAAGATTTAACCTAAGCTAACACGTTCAAAGTCCATAAGCCTCGTCATATTCATAAGCTTTCTTGTTAGATATGAATGTAACTGTGACACTACCAATAAGACTATACGATTCACTAACATCGCATAAATGACAGGAATAAATTACAGAAATGGCTTTATTGTCAAGATTAAATTCCAGAATTAAAAACGAAATAAATTATAGAATTGGCTTTATTGTTCAAATTAAATTCCAGAAATTAAAAATTACATTAATTACGTAACTTAATTGGTTTTATTCTCAAAATTTTATTCCAGAATTATAAATTAAATAAATTATAGAATTGGCTTTATTGTCAAAATTTAAATTCCCTAAATGCATCACGACTCTAATAATTCCGGTTGCGTGCCAGGTTCGAGAGAGCCTACACGACCGCGTGTTGCCGCTCGAGAAGCGCCTCGAGATCGAAGTCGCGGGCGGCTACAAAGCCCAGGTCTCCATGAAGCTTCCGCCCGACTACAACCCTAATAAAATCAAGGCCTATCCTATGCTCGTATATGTGTAAGTTATTGCCAAGAATTTTAGAGAAGTTGCAAGAAATGAAATAGAACTATCAAAATCTGTTTTCTGAAGGAGTTAATTCGTGAAATTCCAGATAATAATGTTTTAGAAGTCAGTGTGAAATGACGTCACAGGTATTTTGGATACTATGTTGGACGAACGGTTAAAATAGGATATGAAGCTTGGAATACAAAACCTCAAAATGATTTGGCTTGTAGTCCCGTTTCTAGAATTTTTACAACATATTTTACACAAAAATTAAGTATTTTTTCAATATTCCATATAGCAGATATACAGAGCATTTGAATTTTCTCATAAAAAATTATTAATACTTATATCATTAGTCTGCCTAAATCACAAGCTCACTAATAATTTTAAAACAAGGAAAACGCCAAGTAAATTAGCCAAATCCTCAATAAATACGTTTCGAAGGCCAGTTTCATCATTAGTTCAGTTCAAAATCATTAATAGAGTTTTGATCTGGAGCTCAAAGCCAAATATATATCATATATATAACACTCCCGTATTGCATGTACGTAGGACCGGGATCGCAGCTGGTGAAGGACAGATTCCGCACCGGTTGTGACCTTCATATATAAAGCAATTAGCGATTTATGTTTGACAAGTTATATTTAAAATTTGAATATGAAGCCTGCATTCCAATATATGTATACTATAGGTACGGAGGGCCTGGCTTGCCGCTTGTGAAGGACAGATTTGGGATCGGTTGTAACACTTCATAATTGTAGCTATTATCAATTTACATTCTACATATTATATTCAAAGTCTAAATATGAAGCCTAAAATAATAAAACTATATTATAGGTACGGAGGGCCGGGCTCGCAGCTTGTCAACGACAGGTTCCGTATCGGCTGGGGCGACTACCTGGCGTCTAAGCGCGGTATCATCTACACGAGCATCGACGGCCGCGGCTCAGGCTACGCAGGCGACGGCATCTTGCATGCGCTCAACCGCGCGCTCGGCACCGGCGAGGTCGATTTAGTCCGTTTACAGTAATCAGTTAAGTCCGTTTACAGTAATCAGTTAGGTTCGTTTGCAGTAATCAGTTAGGTTCGTTTGCAGTAATCAGTTAAATCCGTTTACAGTAATAAGTTAAGTCCGTTTACAGTAATAAGTTAAGTCCGTTTACAGTAATCAGTTGAGTCCGTTTACAGTAATCAGTTAGGTTCGTTTGCAGTAATCAGTCGAGTTGCTTAATTTTTTAATTTTTTCGCAGAACACATGCTTCGAAAATTGAAGTGGTTTGTTTACGTATAGATATTTATATGTTAATATCGGTACAATTAATGACCAGAGAATGCATTACAATATTATTTTTTATTTATGTATAGATATTTATCATGGACTTGGGTTCTGCGGTTTTAGTAAACAAATTATTCAGTCCAGTATTATTGAAATAGTTACTTTAAATTTTATTGATGATATTGATTTGGGTAAAGTTTTTCGTTAATTTAAAAAAAGTTCTCATGTCATTAACGTTGTAACTCAAAATTCTTTCGGGTTCTATTTATAAATAATTTTTTTAGTTCTTTCCTTTTGATCTAATGAGATAGATTCATATAAGAATAATAATGCAAATGTTTTCGCACTTTCTAGTCTGTGCTTTAAAAATCTTTCCGTTACGATGTAATTTCCAGTACCTAGGTTACGGGAAAAGTTTTTTTTCATGCGACCTTTAAGTGAAGCTATGCAGCCATTAATCAACCAACCAAACAATTATTTTTTTTCTTTTTTAGTGGGTATTTAAAACATTCAAACTTAAATGATTATTTTATTAGTCTATAAACTAAAATGACAGTAATTATTCCTAACCTGTTTTTACTTCACATGCAACTGAATTATTTCAATCCCGTCACTACTTCTATACAGAAATTTTTTACCATTTTTGTACTTAATCATAAGTTAGAATTAAATAAGTACAGATAAATAAGTGATTACAAAAGCCTTACTACTAAGGAATAATTTACCTATATTGATAATTCTTTGAATTTTTAGCGCATTTTCTCATTTATGGAAAAAATGCACCATTGTGCTCGCCAAGTCCGTCCGTCCGTCCGCCTGTCTGTCTGTCTATCCGTCCGTCCGTGACCTCAAGTTTTCGTCGACAAGAAAATGCGCTCTCTGTCACTCACTGCAGTAAGTACTGAGTTACATTTTTTTATCACTTATTTTAACCTTTTTATAAATATGTTAATAATTCGGTGTACACACAGCGCCCTGCAAAAGTCGTTCCCCGCCATCGACGATAAGCGCACCGCCATATGGGGCTGGTCGTACGGTGGCTACGTCACCGCCGCCGCCCTCGCCCGCGACACCAAGAACGTCTTCCAGTGCGGCATCTCCGTGGCGCCCGTCACGTCCTGGATCTATTACGGTGAGCAGACCCGTCCCTAAGAGGCGCCCGTCACGTCCTGGATCTATTACGGTGAGCAGACACGTCACTAAGAGGCGCCCGTCACGTCCTGGATCTATTACGGTGAGTAGACCCGTCCCTAAGAGGCGCCCGTCACCTCTTGAATCTTTCAAGAGGTGACGGGCGATCTTGAAAAGAAATTTGATTACTAACGGTTGATCTTAACTCCACTTGTTACGGATCATTTCTATTGGTATTACTCTTATTAATCCAAGAACGGCATTTACTCGTATATTTCATATTAAATTACTGAAACGTGTATTAAAATCTCAACATTTGTAGCTTACGAACAATTTTAAACTTATTTAATCCTATTTTTCAACACAAGTTTTTCAGATATTTTCAGAAAGTTCTACAGTACTAAAATACACGAGGTGCATGAAACCTCCTATAACTCTCAACATTTTAATTTTGTACATCCTCTCACAGACACGGTGTACACTGAACGCTACATGGGCCTTCCCACTCCCGAAGACAACTTGAAGGCCTACGAGGCCTCCGATGTTACGAGACTTGCCGACAACTTCAAGGGGAAAGATTTTCTTCTGATACACGGAACTGCCGACGATAACGTGCACTACCAACAGTCCATGATGCTGGCCAGGGCTCTTGAGAAGGCAGACGTCCTGTTCAGCTCTCAGGTATAAATCAATATTTGTATTGATTTAAATCCTAATTTCAATAACGTGGTGCATGAGAGATTAAATCAAAATGGAACGTTTTCAATGATGCTTTATAAGACTGAAATCAAAACTTGGTATTGAGTTACTAGAACACGCGGGGGTAGAGGGCTCTTCGAAAACCAACAATTTTATGGAAACAACGTGGCTGACGTATGAACGAACGCCCCGGCACAAATTAAACATTGCTGTGATGTCTCATTTTTCTTTCTTTGTGCGTATCCTTGATTTTTGCTGCTCAATCTTTTTTATGCTTTTTGATGTTGCTGCGTTTTTCTTGTTTTATTCTGTCATTGTTGGCCTGAAGCATTTAAATCTTTATATTACGTTAAATTATATGTATCCTTAATTTTTCGCAGAGCTACCCTGATGAGAACCACGGACTGGCGGGAGTGAAAATGCATCACTACCACACTATGGAGCATTTCTTAGACAGCTGCTTCAATCTAGCCTAACTTGTCACCAATACCAGACCATTAGGCATTTCCTAGACACCTGTTTCAATCTAGCCTAAATTCTCACCAATACCAGACCATTAAGCATTTCCTCGTAATCTTTTTCAATGTAACCTAACATGTCATCAATCCCAGACTATGGAAGATTTCATAGACATCTGTTTCAATCTAGCCTAACTTGTCCTCAATACCAGGCCATTAGGTATCCTAGACATCTGTTTCAATCTAGCCTAATTTGTCCTCAATACCAGGCAATTAGGCATTTCCTAGACATCTGTTTCATTCTAGCCTAACTTGTCATTGTTTGGAAACTATGACAGTGCGTTGCTAGACGTCTTAGTGACTATCCTAAAGGTGTTTTTAGATCGGAGGCGCTATGATCAAACTTGAGAAAAAATGTTAAGATGTATTCCGTTAATTATACAATTGATGAAGTATAATAATGTAAACATTTCGACTGTAACAACAAAACTCGTTTATGAATCTCAATGATTTGTATTGAATTCAGAATCTCGTGATTGTCCTCAGGTTGTTCAAACTAATATTTCAGAAACTTTGTTATAAAGGAAAGGATTATGCAACAAAATCAAGTTTCACATTAGAAAATGAGCTATCGTATTGATAAAATACAATTTAATATAAAAATCAGTGTTTTAACATAGAAAACTCATAAAAGCCTTTCCAGAGACCATGGGAGACAGTTTAGGGCCCTTTTATTCATTTGGTAGATTTTTGGCTACACGTACGCATCGCGGCCTAAGCACCTACACGTAGCGGCTGATATCTTGGCTGTGATTGGTGGTTTAGCTTGAAAAGCGTTGTCAGTGATTGGATGACTGAGTTACGAACTCGTTACTATTTTTGATAGTACGGGCGTACGACCTATAAAGCCAGATTACCTGTGAGTATCCTATATGAGTATTGCGTTCGTTGTTTCATAAACGTGAGTTTTTTTAGGAAAAATTTTCCGACTTTGAAATTGATTCCGAAATCTTAATCAGAAGACGAGCGATGTGTCGAACCATTATTGACGAGTATCGCTATGATGTTGTGTGACTGGCAGGAATTTTATATTTTTGTCATACCTGAGGCTAATAATGATGTTGATTTGGCATGTTTGGCTGTCGGTTCAATATTTTATCAAATATGTCGGGAGTTTTCGTATGGGAAAATATTTTTTGTTATTTTTCTAATTCCTGCAAATATGTATCAGGTTTTTCATAAATTAAATTAAAATATCATAAGTTAACCTTCGATTGAGATCCATCCCACTTCTTTCCGATTATTCTTCAACTCCTGACGATTTTAAATCTCCTCAGGATTTTTAAACATGGAGTTCGATATATTCCAACGGATTAGAGTTTGTTAGAAATGATTCCATCTTTTTAGTGCTAGTTCCTAGATGCCCAACTTGTGTCATCTATAACATGTACAACGAAACACAATCGGTTTTGTAAAAATCAAAAGTTCTTCCTCTTAGCCCTCCTAATATAACTAAGTGTCAGTTTACGCCGTTGTAAAATTGGTGCGCAGATGCAAACACAACTAGAATACTAGCTTGCAAACTGAAACACGATATCAATAATAATAAATTTAAAAACATTAAGCTTTTCTTCAGCTGCAATCCCTGATTCATTTACGCTCATCCGCAACCGTGAAACTTTTCTGGAAATTTACTTACAAAATTATTCTCCGGAACTTCCTTAAAGATGCCATACTTGGTTCCGTCGATAGCCCGTAAAATGAAACACTCGCATTTCTCGTAAGGTCTGACGTTAATGCAGTTCAATTAAGGTTTTTAATTGGACCGCAAAAGCTTAACTTATGCGATCGAAATCTTGTTACATTAAGCATGTGGTTCTCACATTACGGTGATATCTTGTCACATGAAACATGTGGTTTTTATAAATGGAAATTTTTTATCACATGAAGCATGTAGTTTTTTAAGACGACGGTATCTTTTCACATGAAACATGTGGTTTTTATAAGGCGGCGATATCTTGTCATGTAAAGGGTTTTATTTTTTATAAGACAGCGGTATCATGTCACATGAAACATGTGGTTTTTATAAGGCCATGTAAAGCATTTAAATTTTTTTATAAGACAGCGAAATCAATTGTCGAATGAAACTCGTGGTTTTAATAATTTTGTTAAAGATATTGTTCGGATTAAGCTGCATGTATTCGATGTTTTTTTCAAGATTGCGCTAGTTAATTTTGTTCATACGGATGGAAAAGGGTGCGCAATAATCTGATTTTAGAGTGCGCCCTCAATATGGTTATTTGTAAACGTCATTGTTTTTAGTTGGGAAAAAAGGGCTTAGATTTATTATGGTTCATTGTGCGCGTGCTCGAAAAATGGAAGAATGTAAAAATAGCAACTAGAAGCGAATATTGTTTTTCAATTTTGAATCTCAGAAGAACGCGTGCTCAATATTCATATTTCACTCAATGAAATTTGACTTTGAGTATTGTCAAAGCTAGATGGCTGATACGCAGCAAGGAGGCAATGTCACTTGTGGTCTTTTTTGAGTTTTCAGCAGGAAAAAGGTGCGGCCGAACGTTGGCTATTAAATGGGAACTGAAAATAATTCCAGAACTTTTAATTGCCAGTGAAAAATCCATAAACGCCATGTGGATAATGGAAATAATGACAGGGATTGATTCGTCATCCATTTGTATTCGAGGACCAATGTCTTAAATGTAATTTTTGTTTAAATCGGAATGATGTGTGGTAATCGTCGTCTGTACAATTTTAGTTCATAGTTTTTTAGAAGAAGAGGATATTTGATATTAAACTTGGAAAAAACTTTCCCATTTCACTTCCCTCAAAGCGACTAGAAATGTCCGTAACATGTACGTAACGTTGATCTGCAAAATATTTCTAGACTCTTATATTCAATTTCGGTAATAAAATGAGAACTAACCTCGGTGGAAAACACTTTAACCCTGTACTACCTGACTTGAGTAGTCGGAGCAATATGTATACTGTATAGTCACGCGCCTACTTCCCAAAAAGGATACGTTCTATATAGTGAGCGCAAAATGACTTGCACTGATAGTTGCCGCCACGTACAACAACTTTAAAATGTTCCCTCTTGCGTACAAACGTCCTCAGGTTGCTACTCTCGATAGTTTAGGAATAATTTAAGTTGAAAGTTATGTCCCCGGAGAGTGACACACGGCAATAGAGGGTTGATACCAATAAGCTAAAGAAGGTTCTAGCCACGTTTATGAAATCTAATCATTCCACATCTTGGGAGCTTCCGGCATCAGAATGGAGCAACACCAAAGACTTTGAATATTGACACGTATTCACTTATAACATTTTCAACGCTCACGATCTATCGGGAGCCACGAAGCTTACTTATTATGGCAACATTTCGCGCAGCGGAGGCTAGGGCGAAGAGTTGCAGGGATGCAGGCCTGCAGCCGGCCGGTATATCTGTAGTTCGTAGCCGAGTTGCAATGATGATAAACTTCGCCCATTTGATGCATCGCCATGGAGGTCCTCATAACTGCTGTGAGTATTTTTTCATTGGTAGACGCTGTTTTACTCCTGTCTGAATTGTTTTATTGTTTAGGGTTAGCGTTGCTACCCAGATACTGGTTAGCGTTGCCTACAGAGTTTTCACGATTGACTGTAGTGTCATGAGCATTAGTGTGGACATCTAAATTGCTCCTTTTTTAACCTGTGTCAATCTTCGTTTTATTACTCGAGTTAAGGTTTTTTTCACTTTCAAGTTTCAGCTTATAAGAGCAATAGAGGGAAGACAAACTACATTCTTTTTGTTACCTGCCGGCTGCCATGACAACGCAGCACAATACCTGAAGCGCCTTGGACTCCATAGTTTGACTATTAGGCAGAATTAGTATTAAATGGCATTAAATGGCAAAATTAGCTGATTTAAACACGTGCGAGTAATGACCAGAGAATTATTTGATTGAAATTGTTCAATTGTTTTTTTTTTCAAGCCATATACAAATGAAATTCGTCCAATTGATTTTTATGCTCGTAATCAGCTTTATTATTTTCACGGTCATCATCCCACTCACTGACTCTGAAGAAAATCTGTCCGGCCGGAACCGGTCTCTGTAATTTGAACTTCCGGAGCTCAGCATTATTTGGTATTCTTTTAGACTTATCGACACCAATTCTAATCTGCCTACATTTGTCAATTCAAATTGACGTCCCGCAGCTCCACTACAGGCGGTAATTTTACAGCTCATCAACCGTAAAAAGCGATCGCACGTCACCATGAATGATAATAAATAACACCGTATCTTTCATACCGATTCCTCTGTTCTCATGCGTGTCAAATACATGGCTTTTAGATGAGGCTCAAACGTTACCTGTCGAAGCGCAATATTCGCCTTTTTATGTTACGTAAATCATAAGAACAGCACTCGTTAAATTACTAGGTGAAGCTTTTGCCTGGTGTCACTGCCTTGGTAACCTGATCTTGTCCTTATAATCTTTTAATTACTTTATTATATTCAGATTTATATACAGAATATCGCACGATGATTTATGTTAGACGGAAAACAATTTAAAATATCAATTCTGTCCTGTTATATAGAAGTTAACTGTTTTGAAGATTACAATTATTGAAATGTTGCAATTCATGTTAAAACGATTAAAATCATTTGGTTAAGATAATCGTGAATATCTGTCTAAATTCTGAAAAGATAATTGAGACATGAAAACATACAATTGCAGCATAAAAAAAATTGCCATTGATTTCCTTAGACAAGAATTATGTCGCTACAGCTGCTAAGTTCTTCTTATGTCGTGCCAGTAAAGTATCTAACGGCGTGTCGTGATCAAAAAAACATTTCTAGGCGATATTGCCGTGTTAGTATAGTGTCTGATGACGATAAAAGCATGCTAAAAGAGTTTTTTTACGATACCGAGAAGATATAGTCGATACAGTTTTTCTTGAAGATGTATTAGCGATGTGGAGTGATATTAGCGATGTGTGGTGAAGATGTATTAGCGATTTTAGCGTGTCATGGTTATATCCTCATGCTTTTAGTGTTTCGGGACAACGTAGCGTGTCGTGGCAATAATGTGTTATTAGCGTGTCGTAATGGAACACATTAGTATGCTGTGCAATTGAGCCCAGGTAGCATTAGATCAAAAATCACTTGGCAAATGAAATTCCTGTAGCTTAGCGCCAACCT